TGCTAATGACAGCTTGAAGTGGCGATAAGGTCTTAAGGTTTTTTTGGAAGGTCTTAAAAAAGTCTTAAAAAGGTATTGAATTTAACCCCAGGATTCCTGCATATACCCTGTTACTATTTTGGGATGGACTGATGGGTGTTGTGTCCTGGACAAAATCCAAGCTCACCTTACAACCCTGACCACTGACCTGGTTGACAGCCTCTTCACCATCTGCAGGTGGTAGCAATAGAAGGTGTGCTGAGGAACTTGTTGTTCCTTTGTGGTGAGACTTCTTAACAGATGCAGAAGGTTAGAAACATTTAAGCATTTCTTTAAATGGATTGAAATATCTTCTCACTTAAAAATAATAATGTACTGTATCTTTTTTCTAAATTTAATTTCAGATGTATTCCCTTTTCTCTAGGTCAAAAGGAAATACAGAAGCTGTGGCCAACACTAATCGTTGCCACTGGAGCCAATACTGTTCCACCAACTGGTTTCTCTCTACAATCTTTAATTGAATTTCTTCACCAAGAGCATGACACGGGAACCCCTTCTAAACTACGCATCGAACACCTGCATCAATTATTTGAAGTTACCACTGCACACCTCTCACAGACTTGTAGGAAAACCAAGACTTAACATTGGGCAATACCCATGGTTTTGGCATAGCTTTATTTGTGGGAATTCTTCCTTGTCAGTATTCAATACTTGTGTACAACTGTGTACTACTACTTGTGTTTGCATTTTAATTGTATATGAAGGGGTAGTTAAAAATGATATGAGGTAACTAGGAAAAATATATCTATTTAAAAAAAATCTTGCATTCTATTTTTGACATCATGTCACAGGCGAGGGAGAGGGGGATGGAGGCCAGAAAGGCCCCCTCGGCCAGCAGTTTATGCACTGCCCTGCCAGTTATAACCCTATACCTGTTAAGGCCCCTACTTTAAAGCATGAAAAGGGCAAAACCAATGTTTTCCAGTCCATGATCATCTCCACCCTGGACGGTATTCTAAAGTTATGTTTTTTAAAGCTAAGTCCATTTTGCTCTAGACTTAAAAAATTGTGAATGCAGGACTAATACCTGTAATCCAATGTTTTTACATTTGCTTTCATTCAAAGATAGTCTTCAAGTACTTACTCCACCACATCAAGCACATTTTAGGAAACTGAATACCAGTGGCATAAGTATTCAGATCCTGTACACACTGCAAAAATAATCTGTAACACTGTATCATAAGGGTACAAATCATATACATAAATAATGCATGACTCATGATGATTTATTGCATTAATTAGTATAGGATGTATCATGATTTCTTGTCGCTCACCATTAGAAAAATGGTGAAGTTACTATGACTTTTTGTGATTAGTTCATTCAGGTATATTTATGAAGGCTGTATATAATATGTGACCAAAGTAGCAGACATTTTATTTCAGAACCATGTATTTGCTCATCCCTTCATATTTCTATGAGAATAAATACCCAGTGGTATTTTTGACACCTTTCCAGCATGATGGACAAAAAAGAGCAGAATGAGCAGACAAACACAATTTAAAAAATAATGTACCAATCACTATTTTGTAAAGATGCCAAAAAAGAAGGTTAAGAAAATGCAAATACTATATAGTGGTCTGGCTCAATGTTCAGTTATGGGGGGTGGAGATGGAGGTAACAGGACTTAATTGTTCTCAGACCTGGTTCTTTGTTTCTTTTAGTTTTCTTCTCAGTAATGAATGACGGGCTAAGAAAAAGGCCTACTGTGTATATTTGCTATTGTGTATAATAAGTATTCTTACTCCCCTTAAGATCAAGAAGGCCTCATGTGCCCCGTGAAGCTTTACCCCTAGTTGGAGTCCCAACCCCCATGTGGGGAAACGGTATTTAAAAAATGTCTGTCATTTTCATTGCTACTTACTCCCAATATGGAAAACTGCACTAGATAAGAAAACAGATGTACACAATGATGCTGTTCAAGTCATCCTGCTTTTTAACGTCAGGTCAGGATAAGCTGAGCAAGTCATACACATGTACTTCCTGGTTTAAGAGTGACTTCCTGCTAAATTAGGAACTTCCTGTTGTCAGTGGAAGTAATAGATACTTCTCCCAGCACATAGACCAACCACAGGGATTGTTGAACAAGATGACGTTATTCCTTTTTACTGCTGCAAACACAATCAACACACAACTGAACCTGCTTCCTGCAGTCTGCTGCAGTTGTGTGTCCTCTGTCATCTGTCAAGCCCGAGGGCCAGCACACTACTGCCTTAAAAGAGGTAGGAAGGGTGACACATTTGCTCCTGCAAGCAACATTAAATAATGCATAATGCTGAGAAAAGTGAGATATAAGGTATTGCATAAGAATATTTCCTTAAAGGTTGTGTGTGTAACATTTAGGAGGATCTATTGGCAGAAATGTAATATATATTAGTAAGTATGTTTTAATTAGTGTATAATCATCTGACAATGAGAATCGTGCTTTCATTACCTTAGAACCTTATCCACAGCATCTTCTTCTACGAGTCCACCACATTAAACCCCTATGTTTCTACAGTAGCCCAAAAGAGACAAACCAAACAATGGCTCTAAATAGGGCCTTTCACGTTTTTCACAACTTTCGCAGCCACCATAGTTTATCCTAAACACTTAACATCCAGATCACATTCACAGTTCGTCAAATACTGATGCAAGCAGTATTTAGTTTGTTGCAATCTGCAACTTTACCACTACAAGCCACTAATTCCTACAAACACCTGTGGCTTACTCGTCCACTAATCAGAAGGTTGGCGGTTCAATCCCTCCTGCTGCATGTCGAAATGTCCTTGAGCAAGATACTGAACCCCAAATTGCTCCCAATGCTGTGCAATTGTGTGTGAATGTGTGTGAATGGGATTGCAGTGATGATGAGCAGTTGTATTATCGTGGCAGTGACAATTATTCACCATTTCACACCTTATTTCATGTGATTTTAGCATGTTATCCATGGATGATGTGAAATCTGATCTTGTTTGGGTCAAAATGTCAGGAGTTGCCAAAGTCTGACATTTAAAATCTTAAACAGCAGACCTTTAAACAGAACATAAATATATATCAAGGCAAATCCAGTAATTTTCCAACATCCACTGAGGTATTGCAGTCAGAGGAGAGCGACTGCTCCCTTTGGCTCTAAAAACTGCAGTCGCCTTGATCTTGTGAAGTCATTTTGCCTGTCAGCCACAACAACTCAGAAGCAAGTCAACAGAATTCTAACCATCATGCAGTGTGCTTGGTTCACCTGTGATTGATTCAGCTGTGGGCCTGGGTCTAGACCTGCTGTATTTGAAAAGTGTCCTGAGATAACTTCTGTTATGAATTGGCGCTATACAAATAAAATTGAATTGAATTGAATTGAATTAAACTGCCCATTT